AAAAAGAATCTCTACTATTTTTCTTCACTGGGAAAAGTAAGTAACAGATGGCGTGCTCTTGCCTTATAATTGAATTAATTGCTAGAACCCCTTCTACCTGTCGTTCAAACACATGCTAACGAATAAGGCTTTAATGTGGTTGAATACACTACCTCAAACACAATTATCCCAGTATGTAATTTCATGAAGCCTCCACTAATATATATTACCATAATCACAACAATTTTACTAAATTTTATTATCTAGAGTGCGCAGATTTTCTTTAAAATGCGAGGTTTTGGAAGATAATTTGCCAGAGAATTGTTCTTTGAGAAATTTATCCCACTTCATACGCCATATTTATCCTACCTCCAAAATGAACAAATCACTTCTTTTGTTCTTTTCAGTATTGATCTTCTTCCTACCTTTTATCATGGAATTTTCACTTTATCATGGAAAAAGATGGCATCAAACAGAAAGCCAAGGAGATAAGCAAATATGATTTGGAACCATCCGGAGTCTTAGTAAATTTTTTCCAACTCTCATAAATGATAAAATCTCCATTTCCCCAAGTTCAAAAAGTCTGCAAGGCTACTGTTCCTAAGAAGGTTTTTCACATCAATGATCTTAGGAAAGTTAGTTAACTGTTTTATACAGTAAATAAATATTATCCATTTTTCTTTTGTTCAAAAACTGGAATGCATTGTACCGAGGTGATACCAAAGACTTGAATCATTTGTTTTGCATTTATTCCATGAATCGAGAATCTCATAGGTGAAGCCACGATCTTTGATATTTTGTTCTTATCAAATCCTAAAGATATATCAGAGGAAGAGACAAAGCTTCTTGGTGGGCTATTGAGCAAGCAATATTCCTTGAGTTTTAGAGAAGCAAGAGCATCTAAAAGTTTGGGAGAAATCCTTGAGACTCATGGGATCGGATTTAGATTAGGGAAGCATGGTGGGTTCAATTCGCAAATATTTAATCTCCTCTTTCTGCCTAAGTTACTAGAATTTGGGTACATTCAGTATTGTACTTGCTCCATCCTATCAGGGACTCCTCACCCACAATATACTTCTTTTCATTAATAAAAAATTGTTTTTTCTTTATTAGAAAACAAAAAGAGGAAAAAGAAGCTAAAGATAAAATGGAAGTTTTACTTCATAAGTCAACACTCCTGCAGACATATATATAGTGTTAGTAGATAATAGAGGCTCTGGCCTGGGACTAGTTTGGCGAGAGGATCACTGAATAATTTGATCGCACCATAAACAACAGTGTTGAGCATACAACCGTTTCAGTAAACATTACGAATATCAGGTATCTGAAGACCAGGGATACCGTCAAATAATGTCAAATCAACAACTTCAATTTTTAAAAATAAGAACGATAATTAATCTGAACAATTAAAGCACGATATACAACCCATTCCTTTCTACTCACAGCAAATATCACATGGCAAATCTGCATCAACAGACACTTGCTTTATGCACCCTTCAGCGGCTTCAGAAAATGTAAGCTCAAGTTCCACCTAAGCTCCAGAAGAAAACCAAGTAAAAGCTTCACTTTACGAACCTTAGAAAATAAGTCTCATGCAAGAATGGCAGGAAATAAATAGTTAACCTCAATATCATTATTCAGATGCTCAGTCTCTTCTTCAAAGATCTGCAAGATCCATAACAGGGTATTAAATTAATAAATAAATACAAAGAAGATGAAAAAAATAGTTAGTTGTCCAATATTTTATAAATAGAGCAAAATTAAGGTACCTCAGAAAATATTTTTTGAAAAGAATCAGAGAACTCGGCTCTGGGTGTACGTTTAAAGTTATTCCTGTCCCTGTTATGATATTCTGAACTTTCAGTTCTTCCTGATTGCCCTCTTATCTATCACATACATTTATCCCAATTAACATAAGGCCAGCTATATTTAACTCAACCAAAACAGTGGAGAGAAAGCAACCAAAGAGAAAAGAACCAAGTGAAATATGAGGAAGAAAAAAAAAATAAGGAAAAGAAAAGGATGGAACACTCTACCCTATCATATTGGGTTTTCTTTTCAGGATCCTGTAAGGTCTGGAATTTCCTTCCACAATAAAAAGTTACAAACACGTCATCATTGGAAAACCAATATAAGTGAAACAAATAAGTAGCTATGTTAAAATAACGATGAGACCTCATATGCATCTCTTATCTCTTGAAATTTTCTCTTGGCAGTAGGATTATTCTTGTTGGCATCAGGATGATACTTCTTAGCAAGCTGCAGAGCATATACATACAGGAGCACAATGACATTGCTGTTGAAATATCGAAACAAATCCCCCAAAATTCGATACTTTAGTAAAAGAGATAAATCCACCATATCCAACGACAAGGGAGTTTTAGAACACATAATTTAAGCGTATCATGTTCACTAGGTAGCTGGGCCCGAAAAAAGGTAGACAAGACATAAAGGGACATGCATGCAATGGTGATCAAAATAGAACTTACAGAACGAAAAGCAGCCTTAATTTCATCTCGAGTGGCATTGTTTGAAACGCCAAGAATCTTATAATAATCATGTTCAACTGAACCGAGGAATCCTGTAGATAAAACAAGAAGAAGAAAACTACCATAAGAATTTCTACAGCCAACACGCCTCGAAATTTGAATTCCAGAAGTTTTTAAAGAACCTGTGGCATGAATAAGCCGTTTGGACAATAGAAGCTCATAAGTCGCAAAATCGGCATGTCTTCCCAACTGACTGCGCCAATAATTGTTTGCTGAATATTGCTTTACCGTCAGTAAATGCTAACACTTTGCTCTTGCACAGGATAATGATCTCTGTAAAGCTGCTTAAGTGCAATAGTTTCACACTGTAAAAATAAAAAGCTCATAATTCTTACCTGCTGAATGCATAAAGGCGCGTTGGGATTGGAATGGTCTCTCACATAAGACTCCATTAGAGCAACTGGTCCGCCGACACTGAAGAGAAAAGCATGAGATTTGAGGTCGGTTTGTTTATGAATTTGCAAGAAATTGTAATGTAATTACCAGAATTTTGAGCAGCGATTTTTGGGAGGATGCAAGCAATCTTAATCGGCCCATTCGACTTGGCACTGAGCAGCCAACAAAGTATCAAACGAAAGAGAGAAATCAAAGGAGAGGTTTTGCCTTGACCTTAAACCCCACGCTATACCATTTTGGCCGCCTTCTTATTTATGTGGACTGTGCAGGAAAAAATAAAAAAAAATAAAATAAAATCTTAAACTTACACGGTGACGGTTTTGTGTGTTAAATATTAATCGATAATTCTTTAAATCATATTTTTTAATTTGATAAATGTTATAAAAAAGGAGAAAGAGATAAAGAGATGAATATACGAACAGAATATAAAATATATTCATTTCTTCTTTCTTTTTTATTTCAAATTTTGTACATTAATGTGAACTGAGGAGCGATTATGAGAAAGCTTACATTTTTTGGTGTCAGGTGTTGCAAGAATATTGCAGGTAAGATCATCAGAGAGAGCTCTTTTGTTGTTTGTGTTCAGTGGTGTACTTTGGTTTAGAATCTCCACCTCAACAAGCATATTTTTAGAGGGAGGTTTTCTGTTGATTTTGACTGATCTCAAGGGTTTAGCTTTTTGGGAATCAGAGGGGCCAGAGGATTCCGGTAATTTGTTTTCAGTGGGTGAGGGAAGAGAGGGGATGTCCACTAAGTGTGGGGTGGTATTTATGTTTTGGTCTATTTTCTGAATAGGTGATTGTTCAATTATCATGGCATTATCTAGAGAGAATACTGATGTATGAGGAATTGGTTCAGAGGTGTTTTTATGAGTGGGGATTTTTTTTGCATTAGAGTTAGGGCTTTTGGTAGTTTCTTCTAACTCATCCGATTTACCTGGAATGTTGGATTTATCAGGATTGTTTTCGGAAGGAGTCTTATCCCTGCTTCCCAAGAAGTTTCCCCCAGAGGCTTTTAGCCATTCCCCAAATTGACCAGGTTTTAGCGTGCTTCTCTTAATATCCTCTCTTTTCTGATCACAACCTCTGTCACTGTGTCCTATCTTTCCACAATAGTAGCAGAATGTTTGCAAATTTTCGTATCTAAAATCCACCCAAACAACATCTTTTCCCAGGATTATGTTTGCTCCTCTAAGCAGAGGTTCATTAAGATTAACCGGAGCTAGAATTTTTAACCATCTTCCATTTGGTCCACCGGAGTCTGGTACATATACATCTGAGGCTCCTCCAAATAGTTTTCCTATTTTCAAGCCTGTATCTGGTGAAATCCAATGTAATGGAAGTCCGTGAATTTGAATCCATAGCTCCACCTGGTCCATCTCATCCCATTTAGCTTTATCAGCAGACCATTCTTTCAATAGCAAATATTGACCGTCGAAACTCCAGGATTTTCCTTTCAGGATTCTCTGTTTGTCTTCTTCGGATTGAAAAACAAATTGGAACAAGTTGTGTCCTACAAGGCGGGTAGTGAAAGATTTTTGCGTTCTCCAGACATAGCCGAGTGTGTCTCTTAGGCCGTTTAGATTCGCTTTCTTATCTCCGACGATTTTTCCTAACAGACTTTGCGAGCATTCTTGGATACCGGGAGCTATATCTTCTTCCGCTAAGCTTATGCTTGTTTCTTCTTTCGATGAGAGGTCAAACTGCTGTAGTTTTGAGGTGATTTCTGAATCCATGAACAACTGAGAGAGGCCTGTGACGCTAGGTAAAGAGCCCAAAGCTGGAGAAAACCAGCCATAAATGGTCCCAAGTTTCCAAATGAAAGTGTCGGTGTGGAATTGTAGAGGTTTGGGAGGACCCTCTACAATTTCCCAATTCAAGGAGATTTTAAAATCCCACCTCCCAGATTTTGCATTCCTATCTGAAGTTAAAAAAAACAAAAAATTTATGGGTACAGTCTGTAAAAAATTGAAGTTAGCTGATAGATGGTATTTTGTAGACCCTGTTAGATCAAAAGGGGGGCTTTTTCTCTGTTGGTCTGACAAAGTCCAAATTATCAAAATCATTCCATCCCAATTTTGCCTTCAAGTCTGCTTTTCTTTTGATTCTATTATTAATATGGGATGGGCCATTTTTGTATATGCTAGCACAGACCCTGTTATTAGAGAAGAACAGTGGTTGAAATTATGCAGGGACAAATCTCAATGGGGTCACACCTGGTTTTTAGGTGGTGACTTCAATGACATTGCTTCAAATTCTGAAAAAAGGGGGGGAAATTTCAGAACTCAGGGTAGCCTTAGAGCTTTTAACTCTTTTATTCAAAATATGGGTATGGAAGACATCCCCTTCATAGGCCACCCTTTCACTTGGAGTAATAATAGACAAGGTGATGATTTTATTGAGGAAAGGATTGACAGAGTCTTCTCCTCCCCTATGTGGGCCTTAACTTTCCCCAAATCCCAGGTTACTCATATCCCTCTTCATTCCTCAGACCACTGCTTACTTCTTCTGAATACTGACTGCGAGGATGTTAAAGCAAAACAAAGATTTTATTTTGACTCAAGGTGGGTGTCTAAAGAAGGCTTCTCTGATACAGTGGCTGAGGCTTGGAATTTGAATTCTTTTGGGGTAGATCTATACAGCATTCAAGCCAGAATCCGAAATGTCAGAATTGCATTGCTGAAGTGGAAAAAATCAATGATCAACCATTCCAAACAGGAAATTGATTTGATAAAAGCTCAGTTACATGACCAACATCTACAGGGTCCTCATAAAAATTGGGCAGAGTGGGAAAGCAACAGAAGGAAATTGCACCAGGCTTATGCAGAAGAAGAAAGATTCTGGGCTCAAAAAGCAAGATGTCTATGGTTAAAAGAAGGGGACAGAAACACAAAGTACTTTCAAGCTTGTGTCAAGCAAAGAAGGAGAACAAATAGTATTGAGGGTCTTCTCAAAAGAGATGGCAGCAGGTGTCAAAACTCGGCTGAAATCCTTGAAGAAGTCCAATCCTATTTCTCTAAACTGTTCTCAACTTCCAACCCCACTCTAGACTGGTGCTCTCTTGACGGAATCCCTTGCTCAATCACTGAAGAAATGAACAACAGACTAGTGAGGCCTGTGACCATGGAAGAGCTTAAACAAGCCTTGTGGGAGATGCACCCAAACAAGGCCCCTGGAATTGATGGTATGTCTCCCCACTTTTTTCAGTCTTCTTGGAATACTATTAAGGATTCTCTATTTCATGCTATCCAACAATTTTTCTTGACTGGTAAAATGCCTAAAGCCACTAATCTCACAGTAATTACCCTTATTCCTAAAAAACCGAATGCTCAATCTCTTTCTGAATTTAGACCAATTAGTCTTTGTACAGTCACTTACAGAATTATTTCTAAAATACTTGCTAATAGGCTGAAGCAAGTTCTTTCCGTTTGTATCAGTCCTCATCAAGCTGCTTTTGTCCCCGGTAGGCAGCTTATTGATAATTTTGTTATAGCCAATGAATGTATTCACCTTTTGAATAGCAAAAGAAAAGGTAAAAATTGTTTTATGGCCCTTAAACTAGATATGATGAAGGCTTTCGATAGAGTAGAGTGGAAATTTCTTGCTGCCATATGCAAAAAGATGGGATTTTGTTTAAAGTTTGTCTCTTGGATTCTCTCTTGTATATGCACTTCCTCTTTTTCTTTTAATATTATGGGCCAACCTCTTGGTTTGTTGAAACCCTCCAGAGGCCTTCGACAAGGAGATCCTCTTTCTCCTTATCTTTTTATTATCATATCAGAAGCCCTTTCAAATCTTATAAAACATGCTTCTATTTTGTACTCGTTCCAGGGTATTAAAATCAGTAAAAACTCTCCCCCTGTTACTCACCTATTTTTTGCGGACGACTCTATCTTTTTCTGTAAAGCAGATATCTCCCATGCTCTTTTAATTTCTACTATTCTTAGGCTATATGGGCTAGATTCTGGTCAACAAGTAAATTTACACAAATCCTCTATTTTCTTTTCTAGAAATACCCCAAATTCTGTAAAAGCTGATATTGTTTCCATCCTTAATGGCATTTCTATTGTCCACTCTACCAGATACCTAGGACTGCCCTTAGGGTTAGGCAGATCCAAAAGGGATATTTTCAGTTTTGTTACTAATAAAGTTATTCAGAGATTATCCTCTTGGAAAAATATATTTTTAAGTGAAGCAGGCAAAGCCATTTTGTTAAACTCTGTCATTGGAGCTTTGCCAACTTTTGTTATGTCATGTTTCAAGCTTCCCATTGCAGTTTGTACAGATATTTGCAGATTATGTGCCTCATTTTGGTGGGGATCAGATGAAAATGGCAGGAATAAGATCCATTGGGCATCATGGCAGAAGCTGACATTACCTAAAGAAAATGGTGGACTGGGATTTAAATGTCTAACTTCCTTTAATGAAGCCCTCCTGGCCAAGCAACTATGGAGACTCATCACACAGCCTCAACTATTTATGAGCAAAGTACTTAAAGGCAAATATTTCCCTTCTACCACTCTTTGGGATGCTCAATCTAGGCCATCTGATTCCTGGCTGTGGAGTTCATGGCTTAAGGCTAGACATGTTTTGAAGAACAGGGTCATCAAAACGGTGGGAAATGGCAGAGACACATTGATTTGGTCCGAACCATGGATCCCAAACCTTACAAATTTCATTCCATCAACAGCATTCCCCTCTGATTCATGCAGACTCAAAAAGGTTTGTGATTTATTAACATATTCTGGCAACTCATGGGACACTGATCTTATTGAACAATCTTTTAGACCTGAAGAAGCTAGACATATCCTATCCATCCCTCTTGATAGAGTTGCCTATTCTGACATGTGGAAATGGATTCCAGACAAGAATGGTAAGTTCTCAGTCAAATCTGCTTACTCCACAATCCTCAAAGCTAAAATGTGCTATGTGCAACAGCCTGAATCTAGCCGAAATGGACACATTGAGAAGAAGATTTGGAAATTCACCTGGTCTCTTAAAATAAAACAGAAAATAAAAAATTTTATCTGGAGATCCTGGTTTAATTTTCTTAGCACTCAAGATCAGTTGAGGAAAAAATGCATCATGGTAGACCCAATCTGTTGCATCTGTGGAGAAGCTGAAGAATCATTAGAACACATATTCTTCCACTGTCCTCGAGCTATAAAAGTTTGGAAACTGGCAAGACTAGACTGGAGTGGTATTCAAAGTTTCACTGATCAATTTAAATCTTGGTGGTCAAAAATCTGTCATATCCAAAGGGTGCAGTGTATACAAGATAGAGTTCACTTTTCAACCTACATCCTTTGGTGGCTATGGAAAACTCGTAACCATTGGCTCTTTAACAAAGTATGGATTTCTGAGGTTGAAATAGCAAAGAGGGCATGGCTTGAGTGGAGGGAATTTGAAGATGTATCCATTACAGCAGCCTGAATTTTTTGCTTAGTTCTGCTTCTATTTCAAATGCTATTGGCAGTATTTTTATCTTTCTTGGGAGGAGTTGCTGTGGAGAAAGGCTGCTAGGGACCTTGGTTCAGTGGTGAGCCAACTTGTGCAGCAATTCCTTTTATCTCTGGAGAGATCTCTTAGCTAGGAGCTGATAGCTCAGTGGTTGAAGAACTCCCCAATTCATGTCATCTGTTTTATATATATGTTCTCTCTCTTCTTGTAAATTTGTATGTATATTTTACTTTCTGTGTATTTTGGATGCATTGTATCTTTTGGTGACTGTTTAGTCATGTAACTTGGCTTAGTCTCATAGCCAAGGAAAGTACCATTTTGGTACGCCCTTTTGTACAAACGCTTTCGAGTTGATAGATATANTTTATAGGCAAAGTTTCAAACATAGTATTTGATTTCCTCCATATAATTTTCATACATTCATCAATTTACTGTTTGCAATAGTAATAAAATTATTATCCATGATAGTGGTAAGTTCACTTGTTTATAACACTCCTTGAAATTACTATTATAAACTGTGCGTTTGTATTGTCTCGTTCAAAACCTTATCTAAAAAATCTCTTTGGAAAAAACCGAGATAAGAAAAAAAGAATACAGTCGCACATACTCCCCCTCGAATTATCATTTGTGTAAATCTGGAAGATGTCTCATTCTAATGTTGTTGACGTGCTTTTGAAATGTTGTAGTCGGAAGCGTCTTCGTAAATAAGTTTGTTGTATTATTCTTTGATCAAATGTATTGAATTTTGATTTATGTATTCCTTTCAAGCTCTTGAGTATATGAGAAGAATTTCGGCGGGATATGTTTAGCTTTGTCACTCTTAATGTATCATACTTTGGTTTGAGCAACACATGTTGCATTGTCTTCAAATATCACCGTCGGATTTTTGTTATTTGATAATTCACTGGTTTGTTGGATGTGTTGAGTCATATTTCTAGATGTTTTTCCTAGTTCCTTCATGAAGTGCAATGATTTCAGCATGGTTTGAAGATGTAGCAACTAGTGTTTGTTATTTAGAACGCTAAGAAAGCACAGTTCCACTAATCTTGAAAACGTAGCCTATTTGAGATCTTGTCTTGTGTGAGTCTGATAAATATCTTGCATCTGCAAAACCAACATGTTTATCAATTGAGTAAAGCAATCCCAAATCGGTTGTCCCTTGGAGATAACGGAATATATACTTGATTTCATTCCAATGTCTCCTCGTTGGTGACGAGTTATATCTTGTTAATAAGTTAGTTGCAAAAGATATATCTGGTATAGTGCAATTAGAAAGATACATAATAGCTCCAATTGCACTCATATATAGTACTTCGGGACTAAGTACTTTTTCATTTTTTCTTCACAAGGTCGAAATGGATCCTTTTCAACATTTATGTTCGATTGACAATCGGAGTACTAAAATGATTAGTCTTATTCTAATTAAGGCGTTTCAGTACCATTTTAGTGTAATTAGATTGATGGAAAAATATCTCATTCTATACTCGTTTTATTTGTAAGTTAAGACAATATTTAATTTTTACGAGATCTTTCATTTCAAATTTTTCTTTCAAAAAACTGACTGCTTCTCGAATCACATTTGGTATCCCAATGATATTAAGATCATCAACACAAATAACAATTATCACAACTCCATCATATGATCTTTTTATAAATACGCACGTGCATAATTGTTTATTTATATCCTCTTTTTCAGCAATTGTTCACTCAAACAATTATACCACATACTTCCTGACTGTTTCAAATCATACAATGATCTTTACAGTTTTATTGCACATAGATCTTTGGGCCTTGATTTTAGTGCTTCAGGCATTTTGATTCCATCTGAAATTTTTATGTACATTTCAGCGTATAATGATCCATATAAATAAACAGTCACAACATACATGAGACGCATTTAAGATTTTCATGGATAAACTGATTAAGTACTTGAAAGTAATTGCGTCTATAACAGGGGAGTATGTTTCTTCGTAATCGATCCCCGGTCTTTGGGAAAATCCATGTGTTGCAAGGCGAGTCTTATATCTTGTCATCTCATTTTTCTCATTTTTTTTTTTCTGATAAAAACTCATTTGTATCCATTAGGTTTTAACTTTTTGGCGGAACAACAATAGGCCCAAAATTTTTTCGTTTATTTAGTGAATCTAACTCGGTTTGAATGACGCATTTCCACTTGTCTCAATCATGTCTTTTCTGACATTCAATTACAGATTTTGGTTCAGGATCCTCAACTTCATTATCAACTTCTTGTGATACCATATATGCAAATGTATCATCAATGTCCATGATTTCGTCTTGCTTCTAAAATTTTCCAATATTTATGTAATTAATGGAAATTGCAATATTTTTTTTACTTCACGTAATTTTTCCATCATCATGATTTTCTTGACTCTTCTTCAGTTTCGGGTAATTAATTTTCCTTTTCATTTGAGAATTCTTATTCTTAGAACCGATCAGTCTTCCTTGTTTCAAGTGTATTTTTTATTCATTTTGCATATTTTCAGTTGTCATTTCTTTTGAAATTTCTATTCTAGCAAGGGTAATCACAGCAGCTACATGTGATTTAGTCACCTTTTTTGAGTCAATAAATGCATCTGACAATTGACTTTCAATATTGCGCAAGTGTATGAGCCTCTTGTTCTCTTTGTTTGGTGGGAGGGTTAAGATATGATATTTATGATGTTCCCCATTAAATACTTCTCTCCACTGATTTTTCACTCCCACCTAAAGGGGGAAATAATTCTTTATTAAAATGGCAACCATCAAATCCAGTTGTAAAACATCACCTGTTTTTTGTTCAAGATATTTCATTATTAAAGGAGATTCATATCAAACATATATTCTCAACTTTCTTTGAGATTCTATTTCTGTACGTTGCGGTATGGCCATTGGTACATACATCGCACAAGCAAATACTCTTATGTGTGCAAGGTTTGGTTCTCGACCGAATGCTAGTTGTAACGACGAGTATTTATGGTATCCACTTGGTCTAATTTGAATTAAATCTTCTGCATGCAGAATAACATGTCCTCATACTGAAGCGTAAAAGTTCTATTCCCATTAACTATGGTCTAGCTATAAGCTGCAACTGCTTAATTAATGATTTTACTAGACCATTTTTAGTATGGATATGTGTCACATGATGTTCATGTTAGTGTTATATATAGATCCCAACAGTTCAATATCAACACCCACCGCCATAAAATCATTTATTTAATTAAAAAAAAATAATAATGCGTGGACAAAAATAAATCAAAAAAAAGTTATCTGGAAAAAAATCAAACAACCGGATTCTCAAAATCCATTTTTCCATGAAACACGGATTCCGAGAATCCGTTTTTATTTATTTATTATTTTTTTTTATTTTTTTTTTGTTAAAAAACGGATTTTCAAAATCTGTTTTTATTTTTTATTTATTTTTTATTTATTTTTTAATTAATAATAATAATAAAAAACATAAAAACGGATTTTAAAAATCTGTTTTTATTTTTTATTTAGTACTAATTCGAGATCACTATAATCGACCTCAAATTAGTGTAATCCTGGCCAATTATAGTCAAATTAGTACAATCTCGGTCAATTATAGTATAATCGATCTCGAATTAGTCCAATTGAAGTCGAATCAGTACAATTTCGGTCAATTATAGTGCAATCGAACTTGAATTAGTCCACTTGAAGTCAAATTAGTACAATCTCGGTCAATTATAGTGTAATCGACCTCGAATTAGTCTCAATGAAGTCAAATTAGTACAATCTCGGTCAATTGTAGTGTAATCGACCTCGAATTAGACGAATTGAAGTCAAATTAGTCCAATTAGTACAATCTCGGTCAATTATAGTGTAATCGACCTCGAATTAGTCCAATTGAAGTCGAAATAGTACAATCTCGGTCAATTATAGTGTAATTGAATTCGAATTAATCCAATTGAAGTCGAATTAGTACAATCTCGGTCAATTATAGTGTAATCGAACTCGAATTAGTCCAATTGAAGTCGAATTAGTACAATCTCGGTTAATTATAGTGTAATCGCCCGTTATCTTTTTAAAAACAAAAATATAAATATAAAAATTAAAAACAGATTTTCAAAATCCGTTTTTAAGTTTTTTTAATATTAACTAAAAAATAAATAAAAATAAAAACAGATTTTTAAAATTCGTTTTTAATTTTTTTTATATTTTTAATTAAAAAATAAATAAATAAATAAAAAATATAAACGGATTTTAAAAATCCATTTTTTAACAAAAAATAAATAAAAAATAAAAAATAAAAAATAAAAACGGATTCTTAGAAAAACGGATTCTAAGAATCTGTCCTTTTGATTTTTTTTCCACTTTTTTTTTTTCTTATTTTTCTCCATTTTTTTTTTCTAAAAAATAAATAAATATTTCACCTCTCTTTGGGATAATTATTTATTTTTTAAATCCGATTTTTGTATAACATAGAAGAATTAATTATTTTTGTTTTCAAATTTGAACCATAGTCTTGAATTGGGCATGATTGACTAATTCAAAATTTGTCTAAAAACATAAATGCTATGAGTGGGGATGTTGAAATGAGCAAGTAAAGACCTAAATTGCAACTATATAGAATTAACCACCTTTTAAAAAAAAAGAAGAAGTTGAAATTACAACTTGTGAGTTGTGATGAGCAATTATAGTGATATTTGTATCTAGTTTACTGTTAGTGTTATATACTGAAAGTTTGGCTTTGCATGATATTACACATTTACCATTTATGAATGAGAATCATGTTAGATTAAACAAGTTCTACATTCTGTTGTTCTGCACTTAGATAGTGTGGGTCGTCATCGGGCGAACCGAAAATCACTCTATCAGTTACTTGCGAACAAGAATAGTCGTTCACAACCTAGATGGACATGAACACCCCATCCGAACGGTTGTAGTGTCAACTGTACAGTTTGTCTTGACTGATTAGTTGTACTAGTACATTTATGTATTGAACAGGATCCCAGAGAGGAGAAGTTCATTTTATACTGATCGTCGTAAATGAACTAGACCTCGGTTAATTACTGCGTTCTCTTAACCCGTAAGATATTAAACAGGCAGATATATATAATATATATTACTTTGATTCACATGGGTGAAGTTCAGTTCGCTGGATTAATATTCCTATTGTTTTGGGTAATATTATTATATATAGGATGTGCTGTTAGGATATTTACGGTCACCATGTGCGTTAGTTTGATGATGTCCCCGGAGTGAGTTCATGAAGGATTGTTATGCTAAACCCTGCAGGTGGATTAAATTCCGGCATAATAAGAATGTGATGAACGAGCGCTAGCTTCGGTGAAATAATAATAAATTAATTAATTCTTGATTGTCAGTAATCGAATTAATTAATGGACATTATATCTTAAACGTGGGGAGGTAAATCGAGTAATTATTATTGGAGTCTCAAATGTAATTTG